CTAACTAACTAAGTAATAGTTAAAAGTATGAATTTGAGGAAGGTATAGAATAATGAAATGATAAATAATGAAACGTAGATGAGCAGCCTACACCAAAAAACAGACATAAACGACTTCAAACAAGAAGATGTTGTAGTCGATATTTTTAAACGGAGTTCTTTATATCCTTTAGTATAAAGTAACCTCGTTAACTCGTCGAGTACCGGTTTTGTAGACACAATTATAGAACAATAGGTTGCGGTCACCGGTGACCGCTTGGTGTTTGACCGTTTAATCTCATGAGATTGAGATTACATTCCCTAACCGGACCTTTTAAAACTACGACCTCTAACCATGCCACGCGTGGAAATGGTCAAAGTCACAATCATTTATTTCAATTAGACCATAAAGGCACTTTTGAACGTCAACAACAAAAAATTTTAGAATTGAAGCTAGTTGCTCATTCCAAGGTGTAGATTGCTATGGAGAAGAACGAGCAAAAAACTCCATAGGTTACTCTTTTTCAATCGGGTTCACAATACAATTCTCTAGTTACATAGTTTTGATGGTTCAATTATGTGAGAACAATGCAACACCTAAATGCAGTCAAAGAGATTGAAAAAGAAAATAACCTTGAGGACCATAGAAGCATAAAGTCTGGTAAACCCTCTAATGTAGATGAGTCCCAAATTCCAGAAGAGGACGGAAATGGAGTGTTCTTGATAGCAAACAGGCTCTTATCAAGATATGATTCACCTTCAAAATCACTTCTTTAGGCTTACAAATATCGAATTACTAATAAACAATATAAAATTACAGATAATTACTGAAAAATTACGAACATTTTCCTGTCCGTGAGTTTTTTATATAACATAATATAATTAATATAATAATAAATAGATAGGTATTGTTTTATGTATTTATCATCTGAAGATTATTTGAATGTCCATTTTCATATAGAGGTTATGCTAGGATCACATTGGCGGATGAATATTCGGCTTTCGGCGTTCGGTTTTTATGATTAAACTTGATAAAGTTCATTACTACCTCTGAGTTTGTTGCGGCATTTCTTCTCAGAGTAGTCAGTTAGGAAATGTCGGCCTCATCGGTCGCTTGATAAAATTGACGAATAAAAGTGCTGCCTTGTAGCCTATTTGCAGAAATAAATTCACTTGTTTCACTTGTTTCACGTGTTTCACTTGTTTCACTCGTTTCACTTGTTTCACTTACAACATCCTAAAACCACTGCAACTTCTGTGCACCAGGATCTACAGTACCTAGATACAACCGCGTCCCAGGGAAATTAACAATTGTCTTGGATCTCATTCGTTGCTGTTTAAAGGTGAATTTTTCATGGGATAAGCCAACAAACGATTACCTGATGGTAAACAATCGGCTGCGCTCATGGAAACCACCGTCATTACCAAGAGAGTTACAAGAGGATTGGGAAAATTGGGGAGGGGGAGGAATCGGATAAAATGATGTGACCAAAATGGATTTATAATTGGCTCATCTTTTATTATCTATATGTATAATTATCGATAGAACTCATGATTGGCCTGATGGTAAGTGAATACTGTAGCCTGAGTACAGCTTGCTACATGAGAGGTAGCACGAGTGCGTTGCTGGTCATGTAGGCAACTGCTTAATGCGACATCGTCTTCCCCTAAAAAGTTGCATAAAATGGCTCTACCATTATAGATTACATCATCATTTATCAAAATACTTCATTTATATTCATAGTGAAAAGTGGGTGTTACATTGTATGGTGGCGTTAAGTGCCATAATGTGTACCTTTGCCTACCCCTTCGGAGTAAAAAGGCGTGATAGTAATATATAACGTATAATAATATGTTATGTTACTTCATTAATCAAAAAAACTGATAAACACTGCGTATAAATACACTATTCGGCCTAAAAATTTAAGGCCGTAACTCGCAACGACTATTCGGCTTCCACACATGTACACTCGTCCTAATGTCAAAATATTCATACGAATCGTCCTACAGAACACGTCATTATACCACGAATGGTATAGGTACATAGATAAAGTCGATATCCGATAAAGAATTAGATAGAAACAATATTATATTATGTTATATGAAATATTTTGATCGAGTTTCAGTCTCATACCAACGATGGGTTGCATTAATAGTGTCAGCTGTTGTTTTATACCTCTCTGTGATTGTACAGATGTGAGTATTCGGTTTTTTTATTTATATACTCGATATATAAGTAGATAAGGGTTAGTTTTCTGTGTCCATAATCAATCATATTTACGTTAAAAATTACTTTGGAGTAAATAATCTCTTGTACATAAACGGGATGTGCCATAATGACTATGCTTTGTAAATGGGTGCAAAATTATCATCCAAGGACTTCTCCCGTCTTGGGTGAGGCGAGAGATGAGACTTTTACTGTCTATACACTACTCTGTTTTTACTCATGCTCTTCGAGCTGGATCCTCGGTAACCCGTCGAGTCTATACCGGCTCCGTATCGGGCATCAGCCCTATTAGGCTCCATCTATGAGGTTGAAGATCGCAGTGTAAGGTTCAGGTTTATCATAGAGGCCTGCTGCCCAGTCGAGTCTTTGAAATCCGCGGGAAGGGACCGGGCAGCAGCGCTCTCTGATAAACCTGAACCTTTTAAACTACGATCTTCAACTTGCCTGCAGAGAATATGGCAAACCCACTTATCAGATGCGGATGCAACTTAGAGAGCGCCCTAGACAAGCACCTCATTGGCGCCCCACTCACTATAGTCAGTTGGGCACGTACGTCTCGGGGCGCCCCTCTGTAACCTGGCGCCCGGCACTTGTCTAGAGCGACTTAGGGATAATACGGCTCTGCCTCTTGTGGCGAGGGGACAGTCACGGGCTCTCGGTGATAGTGATGTGAATGATGATGATGAACCTTCAATTACTCAATAATCAGTTTGAGTCCCATATTGGATGATACTACATAACAACATAGCATCACGCCATTATCCCCAGAGAGGTAGGCAAAGGTGACATTATGCCACTGTCTGTACAATATAACACCCATTTTTCACTATTATATGTTATGAGTCCCATGGAATAGGGGGTGAGCCTATTGCCATATACCGGGCACAATACTAGATTCCGTGCTACTACTGACAAGTTTTAAAAAACTCAGTAATACTTTGCTCGACCCGGGAATCGAACCCGAGACCCCTTGCCCGGCAGTCGCACTTGCGACCATTTGACCAACGAGGCAGTCATGGATGATACTATTTATCATTGTGCTCTTTGATAATTATCAAGTAGTACATTTGAAAGTCACGAAGATAATATTTCTGTTTGAAGTGGAGTTTGTAGTTAAGTTTACCTTTCCTAAGGCAAATAATTAAATTCAATGTAGGTCAACTTAGTCAAAGTCTTAAGAGTGCCATAATCCCAATTGGAATAGAGTCTATTGTCATTGTCATATTTATCTAATCACCAAGGTTGTTGCTTAGACCGGAGCTGCGTACGACCTAACGGGTTACCATGGCTCCGGCTCGGAGCAGAAGTACGAACAGGGTGGTGTTTATTCAGTAAGAGTCTCACACTGCCTCTCGCTCGCTCTTGGAGAAGATATAAGACGAGTTTTCCCTTTAAAAGAGGCTGTTGCTAACCTCACGGGTAATGTCGTTCAATCACATCACATCAACAGCCTATACATGCCAACTGTTGACCAAAGGCCTCTGCTCACACGGAGAAGATTTAGGCATCAATCACCACGCTTGCTCAATGCGAGTGTCGCCCAATGTTTGACTCCAATAGATTAGTTATTCTCGAATACAATGATCCAATTAACACATTAAATACCACGGGGGTCACCGGTGACCGAAGTTTTCTTTAAAGGGGAAAAATCATCCAATGACTTTTCCCGCCTAGGTGATGCGGGAGGGAGTGTCACTCATACTGACTAAAAACCACCCTGTCCCTACTCTTGCACTTCGAGCCGGAGCCCCGGCAACCCGTTTAGTCCTCCGCGGCTTCGTATCGGCATCAGCCCTATTGTCCCCTGTGGCGACACATGGTACATTCTAACGGATGACGTCATAAAAATCCTACATCGCACATGCGAAGTTTACATTGGATTTAACACGGATAGAAAATCCCAACGAACAACTGTTGGGCAGAAAGCCCGCCAGGCACGATCACCTCGCCTGGTCGGAGGATCCTCCTTTTCCGATCTTAGGGAACTATACTCTCTGTTCATCTGTGGTGGTCTGATGGCTCTTTGAGGCGCGCGGAACGTTCGGCACCGTATGCTCGGATCTGGTTCTGGTCGCAAGCTACCCATGCTCGCCGTCCGCAGGCCCGCGCTTATAGTGGCTGGAGATCGTCACCGGTGACCGACGTTAGCGGAAGACTTGCCTTCAGTTTTTCAACAGTTGTTTATTGTCAGTTAAAGCCTTAAGCAGTTTCCTACATGGTTATCGACGCACTCGTACTACCTCGTATTGCAGGTGTACTTAGACCACAGTGACTGCTTACCATTAGGCGGAACATAAGCTTTGTTGCTACTGATAGCAGTGTAAAATATATGGCTGAGTGCTGCCGGGCAAGGGGTCTCGGGTTCGATTCCCGGGTTGGGCAAAGTACTACTGGGTTCTTATAAATTCTCAGTAATAGCACGGAGTCTGGAATTGTGCCCGGTATATGGCAATAGGTTCACCCCTATTACATGGGACTCATAACATAAATAGTGAAAAGTGGGTGTTACATTGTACAGTGGCATAATGTGCACCTCTGCCTACCCCTTCGGGGATAAAAGGCGTGATGTTATGTTATGTTATGTTAATCGCCGTCCGCAGGCCCGCGCTTATAGTGGCTGGAGATCGTCACCGGTGACCGACGTTAGCGGAAGACTTGCCTTCAGTTTTTCAACAGTTGTTTATTGTCAGTTAAAGCCTTAAGCAGTTTCCTACATGGTTATCGACGCACTCGTACTACCTCGTATTGCAGGTGTACTTAGACCACAGTGACTGCTTACCATTAGGCGGAACATAAGCTTTGTTGCTACTGATAGCAGTGTAAAATATATGGCTGAGTGCTGCCGGGCAAGGGGTCTCGGGTTCGATTCCCGGGTTGGGCAAAGTACTACTGGGTTCTTATAAATTCTCAGTAATAGCACGGAGTCTGGAATTGTGCCCGGTATATGGCAATAGGTTCACCCCTATTACATGGGACTCATAACATAAATAGTGAAAAGTGGGTGTTACATTGTACAGTGGCATAATGTGCACCTCTGCCTACCCCTTCGGGGATAATAGGCGTCATGTTATGTTATGTTATAAAACTGAAGCTCTATGTCCTTCATTTAAATTAAAATTTCCCGCGCATTGGATTCATACGCTATCTGTGGACAGCGTATGAATATAACTTATATGTATGAGTATCGCACACGAAAGACCACGTGGTCAGCAATCGCTTTAGTGATTAGTTCACCAACAAATTGTGCCTACGATATTAATATTTTGTTATCTCAATTCAATTATTTTTATCAATTTTATAAGTAGTCCATGTTGGAAGACCATGCTTCAGCATAGCTGTGTAGAACCGACAGCCCACACAAATAATGATAGCACGACCTTCCACAAAACCGATGTGAATGCGTTGTTTCGTTATGCGAGTACGGTTACTGGAGGCCTAACCCTCCCCCTCGATCCCCACTTCCTTAAATCCCGGTAACACACTTGTCACTTCTCTAGAGGTAGTGTTTCGGGTGTCCACGGGCGGCGATAATTGCTTACCATCAGGTGATCCGTCTGCTCGTTTTTTTTTATGGGATAAGTTCGCCACAACCTCCCAAAACCACTGCGACTCCTAAGCCAAGATCTTCAATAGATACAACCATGAAAACACCGGAACACTGAAGTCGCGCGTCCCAGGGACATTAATAACTGTCTTAGTTGGATAAGAGGAGAAGAAAAAACACGATAGTTTCCACTTCCCTCGGTGAATTACCGTTTGCTCGTTTGCCGAACTATCTCATAAATAAATAATGAATACATATCCCGGGTGTTTTTAGTTCAAATCTCTTGAAAGCGTCTAGAAGTATCTATATACAGAGCCGTATTATGCCTATGGCAAACTAGACAAGTGCCGGGCGCCAGGTTACAGAGGGGCGCCGCGAGACGCGCGTGCACAACTTTACATAGAGTGACGGCGACGACAAAACAATTAGGGGCGCCAATGAGATGCTTGCCAAGGGTGCTCTCTGGGTTCAGTCCGTCTATGCCTATGCCTGTGTATGGCAATAGACTCACCCCCTATTACATGGGCCTCATAACATAAATAGTGAAAAGTGGTGCCAATATATTTGCTAAGTTATTCTTACTAAAATTATAAATATGAAAGTTTGTGTGTTTGTATGATTGTATGTTTGTATGTTTGTTACTCAATCACGTCAAAACGGCTGAAGGGATCGAGGTGAAACTTGGAACAGGGGCAGATTATTGTCTGGGATAACACATAGGCTACTTTTTATCCAACGGGAAGGCAGACGAAGCCATTGGCAGAATATACTATAATTTTATAGGTTATGTTTTACATAACGAGTAGGTATCAATATAAAATATTGTTATTCACATGTTGTAACGCTACCGACTTAGATAAAAAGGATTATTGTACATTCATGTGTATAGAATTGAAACATCTTTTCCTTAATTTGATAAATATCTTGTTGTACAGTGACACATATGTTCTAGGAACTATCTATTACAGATTAGACAAGATAAGCACAGATAAAATATAGATAAACAAGGATACTACAGATAATAAAACAGAAAGACTTTGTAGCGTTGCGAGCTGGAACTAATATTGATTTCGACTGAAGCTGACTTCGGATCATATCTCATGAATAAACAATCATCCGAACATGGTACCTCCTCTTTTTAAACTCGATACAAATAACAAATATCAAAACCGATTGAGTCGCTGTGTACCGGGTAACAGGTACGGTACTAGCGACCTCTATTATCCCAATTTGTTTTGCCAAGCTGTATTTACCTATAAAAGGATGGACATGTTAAACATAACCAATATATCATGGTAGCACTTCGTAAGATTTTTCAGCACATTCTTTTTACAAGTATTTATAAATTTCGACTGCCTCGTTGGCCGAGTGGTCGCAAGTGCGACTCCCGAGCAAGGGGTCTCGGTTTCAGATCCCGGGTGGGGCAAAGTATTATTAGGTTTTTTTAAATCTCAGTAGTAGCACGGAATCTGGAAATGTGCCCGGTATATGGCAATAGGCTCACCCCGTATTACATGGGACTCATAACATCAATAGTGAAAAGTGGGTGTTACATTGTACAGTGGCATTAAGTGCCGAAATGTACACCTCTGCCTACCCCTTCGGGGATAAAAAAGCGTGATGTTATGTTTTATGTTATTTATAATTTTTTTTTTACTTTTCAGGATGGTGGCGTAAATGTCGTGGATGGCATTGATTTTGGGGGAGGCGGTGGAGGAGTCCACGTGGTCGAGTCCATGGACTTCGGGGGTGGTGGGGTCAACGTAGTCGATGGAATTGACTATGGCGGTGGGGTCAACATAGTTGATTACGGCGGAGGCGGTGGAGTCAATATAGTCGATGGGATTGATTACGGTGGCGGCGGCGGAGTCAACGTAGTCGATTATGCTGGAGGCGGCGGGGTTAACATAGTCGACGGAATCGACTATGGTGGCGGCGGCGGAGTTAATATAGTCGACCACCAAGGAGGTGGTGGAGTTAATGTAGTCGATGGCGTTCAATACGGCGGCGGTGGCCGGTGGTAGATACAAAATTAATTGTAGAAAATGTACATACATAGTTTTAAGGTTTTTATAATAACTATCGTGAATTCGTGAGACATACTAAATTAACTAAAAATCTCGAGTTACTTACGTGAATATACTGAGAAAAGCTCTATTAGTTTCGAACCACAAAGAGGTTCTTCCTCATGAGCAGAGTGCGCGGTTGCGGCGATGTCGCGCAGCCTACTTATCAACTCATTTGCCTTGTTCACACTACGCTAGTATCGTAGTCGAGTAGCGAATATTCAGTAGTCTTCTCTTGCTTCTGTTCTAAAATTGAAATGACAGAGAAACACTAAATATTGCCAACTATACTAAATTACTAGCCTCGTACGAACAAGGCATTAAAGAGTCTTAACTAGTAGAGCTTTTCTCAGTACATTCAAGTGAATAACCCGCTTTTTAGTTAATATAGTTTTCAAGTGTTTTACGTTAGGAAATTAAGTTATATTTAGCCAATTTTTTAATTTATTCTATTGTTATACTTCCCATCGAAAATGTATTGAAAGTATACGATGGGTAGGCAGGGAGACATGATTTGCATCTGTGTGTATTGTACAATTTAATACATACCTACATAATCAATATCAATACATAGTATAAAACAAAGTCGTTTTCGCTGTATGTCCGTATGTATGCTTAGATCTTTAAAACTACGCAACGGATTTTGATGCGGTTTTTTTTAATAGATAGAGTGATTCTTAAGGAAGGTTTGTATGTATAATACATGCATATTGCACCCGTGCGAAGCCGGGGCGGGTCGCTAGTTAATATTATAAATGAGAAAATGTATCTGTGTCTGTGTATTTGTCCGTCTTTCACGGCAAAAAGGAGCGACGGATTGACGTGATATTTTAAGTGGAGATAGTCGAAGAGATGGAGAGTAACATCTATACTAATATTATAAAGAGGAAAGATTTGTACCCATTTTTGTATGTTTGTATGTTTGTAATGAATAGGCTCAAAAAGTACTGGACCGATTTAAAAAATTCTTTCACCAATAGAATGCTACATTCTTCCAATTTGACATAGGCTACATTTCATTTTGAAAAAAATTAAGGTGTAGAAAAATGAGTCTTAAAATGTCTTTCGTCGAATGCGCAGCCTAAACTATTAGCGATAGAACAAAATAATGTACAACAATATTGAAGAACATCATAATGTCTACAAAAAACTCCGCGGTAGCATATGTCCAACTATTATAGTTATAATGTCACTACAACAATGCAAATTTCCAAAAATAAATAATTGTCTACCCCGTGCGAAGCCGGGACGGGCTGCTAGTAGGATATAAAACGACATGCTACGTTCAATAGCAGCTGCGCAGCGGGTAAAACCGCGTGACAGCGGCTAGTAACTAATTATTATAAATTATTAGATATAAATACTGACTGCCTCGTCGGACGAGTGGTCACGAGTGCGACTGCCGGGCAAGGGGTCACGGGTTCGATTCCCGGATCGGGCAAAGTATTACTGGGTTTTTAAAAAAATCTCAGTTGTAACGGAGTCTGGAATTGTGCCCGGTATATGGTAATAGGCTCATCCTCTATTACATGGGACTCATAACATAAATAGTGAAAAGTGGGTGTTACATTGTACAGTGGCATAATGTGCACCTCTGCCTACCCCTTCGGGGATTAAAGGCGTGATGTTATGTAATGTTATGTAAATACTGAGAGGTACAATTTTATAAATATGTCTTTTGATACGCCTTCTATGATTCTCTCGCTTTTTAATGGCTAAAGGTCATAGATTAAAAATGTTGAGAGTTGTATTTTTCTGTTGGTAACACAAATGAAATATTGTTAATAATATTCAAATTGTGCCAAACTCTATGATTAAAAACTATCTTCTAGTTCTAGTTTCTTAATCTGTCACTTGATTTGATTTGAAAAGTGTGTATTTTCGTATACCTTTATATAGATGAACCATATTATATTATGATTTTATTTATATTAATAGGTTGTTCAATGCAATTTTTCGATTAAGCGAGTTTTACCCTCTTTGAGGGACAACTTAAACTGTCAAACACCAAGCGGTCACCGGTGACCGCAACCTATTGTTCTATAATTGTGTCTACAAAACCGGTACTCGACGAGTTAATATACATTTCTAATTTTTTTACCTACTTAGATTTATTACTCAAATTATTTACCCACACAAAGTCAATTACAACAAATAATATTTATTAAAACCTACAAATTTTTATATAAAAAGAAACAAATCTGTCTCTTTATATCCAGAGCCGTATTATCCCTAAGGCGCTCTAGACAAGTGCCGGGCGCCAGGTTACAGAGGGGCGCCGCGAGACGCGCGTGTACAACTGTACATAGAGTGACGGCGACGACAAAAATATTAGGGGCGTCAATGAGGTGCTTGTCTAGGGCGCTCTGTAGGTTAATTCCGCCTCTGGTTTACACTCAGAATAATTCGTATAAGGAAATTAGAACATTCAGCTAGATTTTATATTAGCTTTCTCCGCGACTTCGTACGCGCAATCCCGTTTTCTCCCGTTCCCGTAGGATTTTCAGGATTTTTTCTGTCATAAGAATATTCGCCTGACAATAACAAACACAACAAAAAAAGGATCAGTCAAATCGGTCTAGCCGTTCTCAAGTTATGGCGTGACAACGGGAAACAGGTTTCATTTTTATATATCCTTATCCTTACTAATATTATAAATCGGAAAGTGAGTTTGTTTGTTTATTCTGCTTTAACGACGTAACTACTAAACCGATTTCTTTGAATTTTTGCAGACGTAAAGTTAGAAGTCTGGATTAAATAATAGGCTACTTTTTGTCCCGGAAAAAAATATATTCTTGAGGGAAAACGAAATTATTGGTATAGATGGCGCTGTGTGTATTGGTATAATATGTCATATAGGCTACTTTTTATCCTTTTGTGACGCGAGCGAAGCCGCGGGTAAAAGCTAGTATAAGATAAGTACTAATTATTTAATTTAATTTAATACTTGAGACTGTGTCGTGTAAATTATTTCTAAAACGAATTGTGTTTTTGTGTAAAAATGAATAAACGATATGAAAAGATTTTAGTTGTTTTCTTTGCCAAGTTTTTTTATGGCATGAGCCGGTAATCGAGCAGACGGATCAGCTGATGGTAAGCAATCGGCGTCGCTCATGGACACCTGGAACACCAGAGGCGTTACAAGTGCGTTACCAGTCTTTTGGGAATCGGGAATTAGGATTGGGATGACGGGGGTTTAAGTTGTTCTGCTATTACTAACGTACAGTCAACCAAGTCATTCAGTACGCAAAAAAGAAAATAAAGTTTGGTTCAGTACAGAGATTTCGATTAGAGGGTGCGATTCCCGGATCGGGCAAAGTATTACTGGGTTTTTAAAAATCTCAGTAGAAGCACGGAGTCTGGAAATGTGCCCGGTATATGGCAATAGGCTCACCCGCTATTACATGGGACTCATAACATAAATAGTGAAAAGTGGGTGTTACATTGTACAGTGGCATTAAGTGCTGTAATATACACCTCTGCCTACCCCTTAAGGGATAAAAAGGCGTGATGTTATGTTATGTTAGGTCAGTACAGAGACAGTAACCATTGGTTGTCTAGAGCCGATCAGCAGGTTTAATAGTGAGAGAATATAGAGAGTAAGTATTGTCCTTGTATAGTCTAGGTTATGTCCAGAATAATTATGGTCCCCGTCAAATCTATAGGAGTCCCTTAACCTCTTGTCTGTCGATATATGAGACAATAGAATTATTATTTTGTTTATTAGATTTTTTTTTTAATTGTCTATTCAAAATTCTGTTATTATCGTATTATTATTTTGTTATATTGTGATGTTTTGATATATTGTCTGTTATGATCTCTATTCTTGTAAGTTTATTATTAGTATTTTGTTTATATATATATTTTTTTTATTTTTTTATATTCTTTGTTTTCTGTGCGTGTAATTGCCAAATAAATGTTTTTTCTTTCTTTCTTTCTTTCTTTCTAGAAAACCCATTGTGTCTCGCATAGACCTGCATTCCGACACTTCACAGGTTAATAGGCTCTTACTTAAAACACCCGTACATGAACATCTTTTTAAATAGACTACGTTTATATAAATATATACCACCGCTACTCTTCCCATGGGTGTCGTATACCCGACTAAGGGACTACACATTTGACAGAGACCGGGCAGCAGCGCTCTCTGATAAACCTGAACCTTTTAGACTGCGATGTCCAACCTGGCTGCGGAGATGATGGCAAACCTTCTTATGTAGAGGAGGCACATAGTCCGGTAGTGGTCTGTCAAGGTCTGATGACGGAGTTGTGACCAAAAGCTTGTAAATAAGAAGACAAATCTGTCTTCCCCCTTTTTTTAAAGCATTGGTTGGCAATTTAGCAGCTGGATCACCTGATGGTAAGCACATTTGAGCAAACGGATCACCTGATGGTATGCAATCGGCCCCGCCCATGGATACTCGGAACAAAAGGCCGGTAACGCACTTGTAACGCCTCTGATGTACGAGGTGTCCATGGGCGACGCCGATGTGTTTACCATCAGGTGATCCGCCTGCTCGTTAACCGGCTTATGCCATAAAAAAACAAATGATAGTCATGAAAAGACCTTTCTAACGGAATACTGTCTGGCTCGTCTTTATTGGTCAGTAGTGTCAGTACATACATATATTTCCTATCTACTGTTAGTGAATAGGAACGCAAATCCTTACTAATATCATAAATCGGAAAGTGAGTTTGTTTGTTTGTTTGTTCCGCTTTCACGCCATAACTACTAAACCGATTGCTTTGAATTTTTGCAGATGTACAGTTAGAAGTCCGGATTAAATAATAGGGTACTTTTTATCCCGGAAAATTTGATGTTCCCGAGTGAAAACAAAAGTATTGGTATAGATGGCGCTACGTGTATTGGTATATGTCAATGTCACATTGGCTTTTTATCCTTTTGTGACGCGAGCGAAGCCGCGGGTAAAAGCTAGTAAAATATATTTATTTTTTTTATCTATGGCGCCACTATTGTTTATCCCGTTTCTCTATGTCTTTATAAAACTCAGGTTACCGTGTTT